CACTTCTCGCCTGTAAAGTCCTAAATCGACGTCCTCAATTTTTGCATTTTTTATCTCGCTTTTGCTTTTATTGGCTTGGGATGTAACTATTAAATATTTATGCGCATAAAAGAAGCAGTGATTTCTATTCTCAAGTTACATACCTGATGACAGTACGAATGGAAATTATAAAAGAGTTTTTAGTTTTTTAGACTATAATTTTTATTTTACAGTTAATAAATGTCATATATGTAATACTTCTATATTGGCAGTAAGCTAACTTCTCAATGTGTAAGCATTCCGAAATCAAAGCGAGACAGTCTAGTACTGTTTTTGTCAATGTATTGTGTACTTGAGTGCCGGTTTTGTAAATGTGTCGTGTACATGTTTATTTATAAACGTATGTGTTCCTTTTCTTTCGTACGTGTTTATTGATATATCTGTACTGTAGTGTTTTCGGACGGTACTAGCTCCTACTGCCAATATAGGAGTATTACATATATGCTTTAAGTACCTTTTTTTTAACTTTGCTATATGTACATACACTAGACTGTACGCGAAAAAAATTCGCTGACACCCCTGAGTCTAAAGCTGTCTTTCATGAGGCGATTTTTTGACAGGCGATAATCGCCTGCAAATGTTGACTTGCTTTCTACTTTGAGGCAAGCGATTTTTGAATCACCATTTACACGAGCGATTTTTCCAGAGCAATGTTGAATCGCCTGGAAAATCGCCTCATGTAAAGGCAACTTAACGCATTTTTGCAAAGGAAATATCGAAAACAATGAAGCCTTAGGAAGTATGTATTTTGATTATTCCAGTAGAACTACTTATTCAATTTTGTATTGCCGATGGATTTTTTTCGAAATTGCCTGGCAAAAATACCTTAGACTCGGGAGCGTGCGGCGAACTTTTTTATTTGATTGCAAGGTGGTACAAGGCTTGTGCCTATTGACACAATTTTTTAAGCATTTTTCTGCATATTGTTCAATAAAAAGCTGTATAAAAAAAAAAAAAAAGTATCCAAGGTAGTCACTTCGTATTCTTCAACATGAGATTGAAATGAAGCTCCTCCGATGCCCACAAATTCAAATATAAGCACGGATCTCAAATCTCAGTCACCGAAAAAAGTGGCAGCTTAAAAAAATACTATGGCAGGAAATTAAAGGTTAAAAAAATATGTTCTTATAAATCATTTGAAATTAGAAAAATTCGTTTTCATGATAGGTTGGAGGCGGAGAAGTAGGAATTTCCTCATATATCCTAACTTTAAACTACCAGAGTCGTGGAGCATCAGCAAATCGTTTTAACGTTAATTAACAATATTATTTGGTAGCACGGATATATATGTATGTAATTTCATGTTATATCACCCACATACTTATGTAAATAAAAAAAATAAATTAACCGTCAGAATTTAAATAATTTCTCAAGCGGCCTCTATTTAAATACACAAAAAAAGTAAAACAAAAGAGAATTCCGAGTAGGAAACTGGCGTACTTAATTCCCATGCCTCTGTTATTCCCCACGGAGTGGCACTCCCTGAATTCAACTCACATTACCTCAATTCGGCTTGAAGTTTATCAAATAAAAAAGCCTAATGGACAAGTGGGAAGCTTGTGTTTCGCAGCTTTGGATGAAATTCATATGTACATACATACATGCACACATAACAACAGATAAATGCATGTGCACGAGTATATCTGCATGACACACAGTATTTTCTCCAAGTGTTTATTTATATTTATTTTCCATATGTAGATATGCATATGTAAATATGTATGTACATTGGGGTGGTCCAAAAATGCATGTAAAAAAATAAAGTCAGAAATTGTATGCTCTCACCCCCTAAGATTATTCTATACTGAAAAAATATAATACTATTTTTTTATTTTCAAATCAGAAAATATTTAGAGGTCGCTGAAAGCGCTAAAAGTTTTCCATGTATTTTATATAAAAATAAAACAACTTTTCGTAGAAATGGTACAGAAATAATTCTTGAAAATCAATATTTTTCGACCGGAAAACTCTGCTTCTCTTCAGGAGTTCCCCAGTAATAATACCCATTTATTTCTTAAACAATTTTTCCTAGTAACTATAGTTTTTGAGTCCGCCAAAACCCCTAAAAAATTCCAGAAAATGCAATGGAGGATGAATAAAAAATCTTTAGTATTAAAATATGCTCAAATAAATAAATAATAATAAATGTATATTGCTATTGGAAGTCTGCTAAAGAGAACCAGAGTTTTTCGATCGAAAAAAATAGATTGATTTTCAAGAATTCCATACCTTTTCCACGAAAAGTTGTTTTTTCCATATCAAATACATGGAAAACTTTGAGCGCTTTGAGCGACCTCTAAATATTTTTTGATTTCATAATAAAAAAAATTGGGGTTTACTTTTTTTTCGATATAGAATAATCCTAGGGCGAGAGAGCATTAAAATTCCGACTTTACTTATTTTGGTCCACCTTAATGTACATATGTTGTCGCTAGATAACTTGCTTGCTCCCCAATTTCGAGGCCAGAAAGCCAACGACGTACTACTCAGCAACTCAAACTCAAAACTCGATTTTTTACAAAGCACATATAAGACATGATATAGAAATATGTTCATACGTGCATATGTATGGATGTTTATATTACATTTCGTCAGAATAAAAAAAAAAAATCATTAGTAGCTTACCATAAAAATATGTACACAGATATCTGTTTGTATGTACAAAGTATGTGCTGGTGTTCAAACAGGCAAAGCAAGTGCACTTTGGGCTCTTATCTTTTTAGAACATGAAAGCAGTATTAGTACTATACGACATAAAAGCAAATAAAAACTAAAAAATAAAAAAGAAAAACAAAAATTATGCACAATAAAGAGTAAAATTGTAGAAACAAAAAGGTACTCCAAACAAAGTTTCGCTGCCCAGCTCCAGCTGCAGCACTGGATTCATGCGAGTTTTTATGTCATCTTTTATTTGTTAAATTTTCTCTTTTTTTATTTAACTTTAAAAGTACATGTGAATGTGTATGTGTTTATGCGTGCGAGCATGCTTTACACACGCCTACACTGCACGATATACATATACCTGCGCTCAACTAATTAGCACCGAAATTCAAAATGATGTTGCTTGCAACTTATGTTTATTTATTTATTCTTAATAATTTTTATTTAAAATATAAATCAATCTATAACTGAAACCACATAAAGAAAAGTTTAAAAGCTTGCAAAATTTAAAAAAAAATTAAACAATTAAGCAAATCAAAAAGTTGCCATAAAAACTTCCAAATTTTTAATCAAAATATCTAAAAAATTTTCGAGTATGAAGTTTCGTAGCCCATTCCATTTTAGTCTAATAAAGCGCAAGTTTCAAGTCGCTAAAAATTACCGTTGCTTTTTTAGAATTTTGTGGAGGGTGTTGCGATTTTGTTTCATATAAAAATACATTTTGATCATGCACAAAAAAAATCAACGATAGATTTAAGCGAATTTAAATTTGCACCCTGCATACCCAAACATGTTCTAAATATTTTGATAAAAATCTGGAAATTTCAATGACAATTTTTTTAAGTTTGATTAATTTTTTTTTTAATTTGTGCAAGTTTTTAAGCTTTTATTTATGTAGTTTCTGTCATAGATTGAATTATATTTAAATGGAAATTATTAAAAATAAATAAATAAACATAAGTTTCAAACTAAATCATTTTGAATTTCGTTGCTAATTAGTTGACCGCAGGTGTATATGCATAATTTGATGTGTGTACGCTACATGCATTTGCACTCGTCTCATGAGTGTTGCTGATCTTGTTTATTTACAGTTTTATAAAACTTATGTACACACATACGTACATACATATATGTAACTTACAAATGTATAAACTGAGCCAGCATGGGCAATATGTAAAGTTTTAAGCGGAGCTTAGCTTGTCACGCATTTTATAATGATGCCGAGTGGGCGGAAGAAATCAGAGTGCCTGCTGCAGGGATTATCAACTCAAGGCATTTAAAACTGTGACGCGGCAGGCATTAGGGGAGGAGCGAAGCAAGTTGTTTGTTTTTATTTAACTAAGCGACTAGTTAATGAGCTAGTTATAGTTGTAATTGTTTTCCAGGTCAAGTGTTGGAATTACAAAAAAAAACTGTATTCTTCGTTGCAAATAATTACTGACAATTAAAAGACTTAAGCATTGAACTAATGAGCTGAAAAAAAGCATATAAATATGTACGTACGTACAAACACTCATATCTACATACATACATTCAGTTGCGGTCAATAAGATAGTAAAAAATTTATGGGATTACAATCTGCAGCATATAACCCCAAATGCAAAAGTGCATTGGAGAGAGGTGTCCTCGGAGGCAATTCGTCCTTGGGAATAAATGATTTTTTAACAATTTTAGAACGTATATAAAGAGATCAAACCCCCGATATAACACATATATACTATGCCATCGTTTAAGTTATATTTTCGTACATTATTTAAAATAAAAATTAATCCGGTTTACTAAGTGGATTTTAATATATTTTATTGACAAGTTTTATATCCGAACTTATTGGACACCGTCTACAAAAAAATATTTGAATTTGAGAAATTTTCTCAAAGTCCAACTGCCACACAAACCTAACCTATGTAATCTCTCCTGGAGCGCTGTGCTGACATAAATATAATTACATTTCTTTAACTTTTTTTAAGTAATTTTTTATCGCCGTTCGTCGTAATATTGTTGCAAATTGGAGAGGAAGCTCGGGCAAACACTTAATTAAGTTTAAGCGCCAAAAATGTTATTATTATAACACTTTCTGAGAGAACGACACTGAGGTGCAATGTGTTCTATAAAATATAATTTATGCCAAATATTTAATATCCAAGAATTTTTTACCGCCTACAGAGCTTGTTGATAAAAATTTAATAACCAAATCAATAAACATACATACGTATTTATTATAAAGCATAAACATAGTTACTAAGCACATTTTCTAAACTGTTTCAAATAATAACTCTAAATTTATTTATTTTTCCACTTAGGTGATCCCATCGCCTGCATCAATGATGGCTCCATACCAATGCATGTTATCAACACCTTCTGTTGGATTACATACACATTCACCATACCTGGTCAACAGCATCGACAGATCGGTACCGACGTGGCAGCGCATGGTTTGGGCAATGAGTTTGGACAGGAGAAACGTTACCACAGCTATTATCAATGGGTGCCATTCGTATTATTCCTTCAGGTGCATGAAACCATATCTTTTTGATAAGACGAAATCACAAGTTAAAAAATCGTCCACTTTTTTTTTAATTTTCTTCAGGGACTCATGTTCTACGTTCCACACTGGATTTGGAAGAATTTAGAGGATGGTAAAATGCGCAATATCACTGAAGGTTTGCGCGGCTTCATCACTATACCCGAGGAATATCGCAAGGATCGCCAGACGCGTATCATTAAATATCTGATGGATAGTTTGAATTCGCATAGCAGTTATTCATTCGCTTACTACTTTTGTGAGGCACTGAATTTTGCTAATGTTGTGTTGAACATCTTCTTGGTGGATAAGTTTTTGGGTGGCACTTTCTTGTCTTACGGCACGGATGTTATAAAATTCTCGAATATGGATCAGGAGAGTCGTTTTGATCCGATGATTGAAATATTTCCACGTTTAACCAAGTGTACATTCCGCAAATTCGGCCCAGGCGGTTCACCACAGACCCATGATACTCTCTGTGTATTAGCGTTGAATATTTTGAATGAAAAGATTTACATTTTCTTATGGTAAGATTGAGCTGAAGTTTAGAAATAATTAATTTGTAATTAAAATAATCGAATTTCTCTACGTACAGGTTTTGGTTCATCATTTTGTCGGTGTTATCTGGCTTAGCTTTGATTTACTCACTGGTCGTTATAATGATGCCAACTACACGCGAAACTATTATCAAACGTTCATACCGCTCGGGTCAAAGCAAGGAAATTCAGAGCTTAATTCGTCGTTTGGATGTGAGTTGAATGCATTATTGATTTTATTTAAATGATTGATATGTATTTGATTTTGTTTACATAGATTGGAGACTTCCTCATTTTACACCTTTTGGGACAAAATGTTAATACCAAGTACTACTGTGAAATGGTGCAAGAGCTGTGCAACATACTCGGCAGTTCGCGCACACCATCAGCACCATCCACTTTGGAAATGCATCCGATGTATCCACAAACAGACCGATTTGGCAAGGAGACGGAGACATAAATATGTACATTAAAAGCCTTAAGAAGAGTTCAAGATAAAGCTTAGCAATCGAATTGAAAATAGAGGCAAGAGCTGAAGAGACAGTGAAGTAAAAACTATAAAACAGTTTAAACGCCATTAAAAACTATTAAACAGTAAAGCAGCGAAGAAATGCAAACAGCAAGCAACATTGTGTAACAATCTATTTAATCCTGTCAAACTGACAGATCTCATTACATCGCTCCATCGAATTTCAATCGACATTCCCTCAATCCACTCAAAAACAACAGGCTCGCCCGCACCAATCTCAGTGTATACTTACAACTAAGACTGTTTATCCTGATTGTACGTATAATCAAATAACAGCAAGTCTAGCAACAAAAAAAAAACGCTTGCATTCCAACAAAAATTGCCAGCGCAACAGTGCAATTGTTACTCTTTGTAATCCATTTTGTATCCTATTCAAACATCGAAAATAATCTATCTAAAGCATGAAGAATATAGGATTTATTTAATGAAATATGGATGTTCAATTAGAAAGCATAAATCATAATTGCCCTCTGCAGTAGATATAACTGTGTGTACCACAATTAGCTTCCATTTTTTCATACTTTTACTTAAAAAAAAAAAAACAAAAAACATACATACATATGTATGATGTGCATTTCTTATATGATTTGTTAGTTCATAAATTTAATATTTGTAACTTGTGTGTAAGACTTTAGAACTTACTTACTTAATTGATCCTTAACTATATACGAATATATTGAGAAGCGGAAAATTTTATAAGAAACAACTCAAATAGATATGTACATTCGATAAAATGTGTTTAGATAGTCTAAACTGTAGAAATTCATGAACGAAAAAAAGTGAACATTGTGATCATTGATAGGCAGACTTCTTTAAATAAATTTTTCTATTTTATGAAGCGATAATCTGTAGTTATTGTACTTATTTATTTGGTTTGGCATAAAGTTGTCTACTTTTAGAAATATACCGGATGCTTGCTAGTGCCGAATTTAAGTTAAGTTGGAGTAAATTGAAATTACTTTATAAGGCAGATAATATACGCGGAGAAAAATAACGAGCTTACAAAATAGAAAAATAAAGAAAATATTCTTTGGCTTTTCTTCGAAAATAAGTGTTCGAGCAGAATGATCTTATGACAATCTTTATATTGAGAATATTCATATAAAGTAGTATACATATGCAACAAACCTTCCGTTCTCATTCTTCCTTAAAACCACTTACAGTGTCAGACAAATAAATAGGGTCGCGACATATTGACAAGTTTTGGCTATTTTTCTTTTTCTAATCTTCAATTCAGTAATTTCAAATAACGAATAAATTTTCATTCATTATCGAATACATTTTGATTCATCATTCTGGTAATTTCCGATGAAGAATTCATCCATTATTATGAAAATGCAAATGACGAATAAATTTTCATTCACCATTCAAATAATTCTGAATAACGAATAATTTATTATTCAGTCACTCTTTCTTGATCATGGTCAATCAAGGTAAATCTTCGTGTCCTTGGACCAGGTACCTCCTCACAAAATGATAGCCGATTCTAAATCTAGATTAATCATTTTTTTTAACGTAAACACAACGCAAACTTTTCTCTTATTTCCATAACACAGGCAAGCCGAATATCTTACGAGTTCTCTAACCACTGGCCCATGTGTCAAGTATTCACAGTTTACAGACAATTTGGGGTATCCACGGATGGAATCATCGACAATTTTCGATTTGTAACAGGAAAAATCTGTAATAAGTTTTGGAAGAATACATTTGCCTCATTGCGACAACTTGTACGCGATGAAGACGTGATATTAAAATAAATTTATTTACAGAAACGTACCGATAAGACTTCAAAATGAGCCCAAAAATTATTAATTACAGCCAATATACAAAACCAAGGTTAAAGTCAAAACTATACGTAGGAAAAAATTAAGAAAGCACTAACGATATCTCGGCACCTACAATTATTTTAATTGTTGACCTGTTTAATCTAACAAAAACTATGTAAGTCCAAATTTTAAACTTTGTACGAAAATTAGGAAAATTGTTAGAGCAGTTCGCATGAGATTTGATATATTTTTTGCTGGAAAATGCGCGACAGCGTCAGCAAAAATGAAAAATAAAATCCAAGTGAGTTTCTAGCGATTTCGAACTTGCATTTTATTATTTTAAAATTTTGTGGGCTATAAAGCTTTATGCATAAATGGTTGTTAAAGATTCTTTAAAATGACTCGCAAGGTTTTTGAAAGATAATGGGCTACACTTTTCTAAGAACATTAAATAAACGAAAGAAAAATAGCCAATAGCAACCATATTTATTTGTCCGACACTGTAGCTAAAACTCCCTCTCACTTTGCTCGTATGTAGAAACCACGAATTTTTAGCGCCTACCGTAAGTTCAGCTTGACTCCAACGACTGAAACAGCATCAACAATAATTGCGATGATGTATAGTATAGCGAACTCTTTATTCGTTTGTACCCAACCTTAATCGATTGAATTTCAATCGAATCCAGAGATTTATCTGCCTATATTGTAGCTATTATAGTTTGGGTTTGTTCTCGTGATACTGGAAAAGCTCAGTGGCAGAATGGTCGCCAGTGGAAAATGTACTATACTTTTTTGCAGGATCGTGGCTATTGTAAGGTTAATGTTGAAATGGCTAACGAAATTAATTACCCACACATTTTTGTCACATGATGTTTTCACGCATCGGTCCCTGCGTTTTTTTAGAGGAAATTTCGGTAATTTTTACGGCACACCTCCCGGCTTAATTTCATAGTAGTACCATGCTTGTTTCGTATTATTTTGTTCCGAAAAAATCGTCAGAAGAAACATTCGTCGTCGTAGCTTTATGGGTACGTACATACATACAGGAAGCCAAGTAAAGCCGTTCTGAATGGAGAGAGAGAGGCTTTGTAACTGCTGTAACCATGACAGCTCGAAACATTTTGGCTGGAGCATAATTTGAGTTTCTTTACTCGTAATTGGACTCATTGAGGAAATTACAAAATCGCTTAAAATTAAATTTAATTTAATAGACAAAAGAATGCTGGGATGGGTGTTACGATTAACTATAATTAAATTAAATTAAATTATTTAAAAAAAAAATATTAATAAAACATTTGTTCGTAATTTCACTTACCGATTTCCCCAATCGATGCGTGACACAACCAATGTTTGCAATTCCAGTGTTTGGTCCTGCGTCAGCGTGGCACCCAAAAGCTCCCGACGACAATCTAAGATGGATAACATCACCTTGCGCAGCGTGTGAAATTTATATGTTTCACGATCCTTTAAGCACAGAACCAATAAAAATAGTTTCATAGATTTTAAATTATTATATATATTTTTAATTTTATAATGAGGTCAATGTATACGAACCACATAGAGTTTCTTCCATATCTCGGACCATTCACGCAAAACTTGTGTGCACTCGCCAACCACTGGATCAATTTTCGACAGATCCTTGATGTGTATATAGGTTTTGGGAAAAAGGCCGACAGCGCGGGATTTGCGCGCACACGTACCGCGATACCAATTTGTGCATTCCTCCAATATTTCGACGGAATCGCCCACATCAAGCGGTAGACCGTAACGCACATCGCCATGCCAATTGTGAATGGCTGTAAGTGAAGAATAAGTGTGTTTATTGATTTATGCCATATTTTAAATTAAAGTACGTAGAAAATATTATTCACAATTAAAAAGGTTGTGGTGAACTAAAATAGCTAGAAGCTAGAGATATTAAAAACTTTGTTATGTTACTAAATCGGATGGAAGTATTTAAATTTGCTGTTATTAGATTTAAAGGTCTTTAGTCTCTCGGCATCGAAAAGGGTTACTTGCGAATTATGCTGGATTCTTAAGAAAAATTATAGATTGTCGTTATCGAATTACTGCTTTCGATTACATGGAAAATCCAAACTCTATTCTTTTATCTATATTATGGTGGTCCTGAAAACATTAGCGAAAATTACAAAATTAAAAAAAATTTTAGTCGCAAAAATTCGACTAAACTTTGAATTTCACTAGCTATAACTCGGCGAGTTTATGATGCATGCCATTGAGTTACAGTATTCAAAAGTTTTACCGACGAGTTAAGAAAAAAACATACTTTCCAGTTTCAAGTCAAGCGCATAAACCGGTTTTTACACATTCATAAATAAAAGATTTTTCACTAGGGAACATGCCATAAGCCTGAACCCATTGACCAGGATACTTATCATCCAAATAAAAAACAGAGATACAATTTAATATTGGTACCAATACATTCCCCTTAAATACATTTGCTTTGATTTTGGCGTTGCATTATTTTGAAGTAATTTCTGTTATTATAAGCAATGCAGTTTTGTGGGACGATCCGTAGAGCTGAATTTGAGTAGGCTATCTTAAGTGCAGCCATTTTAAAATATTTACCCAATAAGAGCTGAAAAAAGTGCTTCCCTGCATGCATGTCTCCTAGAGAGGGCTTTCCTATTTACAATTCATGCGAATCTACTTAAGTGCATGTTTATATTATTTAGCATTACAAATGAAATTCAATAAGCATTTAAGACTCAATGCTCAAATAAATAAATTTATTAAAGAAGTAGATATGATTTTTATGAATTAAAAGAACAGCTTTAAAAGAACTTGTCCAAAAGGCCGTCTGACGTGTGTGTGATAGAAGCCATTCTGGAAGCTTTTCTTTGGGTAAAAAGTAAAATTTTAATAAAATAAACTAAACAGAACGATATTGTTCGACATGTTAGAAAAATCGTGTCGTTATCGATTTCAGATAACAGAAATCTTAACCCTTTTTCATAGCGAAAATCTGCCAAAAATGAAGTGGGCGTCTGTATTGACCTTCATTAAAGAACCAGAGGCGCGCACCAGCACACCAGGAAAAATTTCCAAAATCAGAAAAAATCCTGGAAAACCAGGACGTCTAGCAGCCCTACGTTAGATGAATGCCACAACTTTGTAACCGACTTTAAGAAAACTAGAAGGTATGTATATTCGTCGGACTTTTTTTTCTTTTTAAGTATGTAGTATGTTACCGGATAACTTACCGGATGTTACCGGATGTTTACCG